GATTGTTTTTCTTAAAACAAAATGTTTCTCGCTGGAGAAAGTTTCACTTGAAATAGCAATTTATCACACTTGAGATTGTTTTTCTTAAAACAAAATGTTTCTCGCTAGAGAAAGTTTCACTTGAAATAGCAATTTATCTCACTTGAGATTATTTTTCTTAAAAAAAATGTTTCTCGCTGGAGAAAGTTTCACTTGAAATAGCAATTTATCTCACTTGAGATTGTTTTTCTTAAAACAAATTGTTTCTCGCTGGAGAAAGTTTCACTTGAAATAGCAATTTATCTCACTTGAGATTGTTTTTCTTAAACAAATTGTTTCTCGCTAGAGAAAGTTTCACTTGAAATAGCAATTTATCTCACTTGAGATTGTTTTTCTTTAAACAAACTATTTCTCGTTGGAGAAAGTTTCACTCGAAATAGCAATTTATCTCACTTGGGATTATTTTTCTTAAAACATTTCCAGAAGGAGTTCATAGTCTGAAGAACTCGTCTGAAGAGGAAGGAGTTCATAATCTGAAGAACTCGTCTGAAGAGGAAGAATGAGTTCATAATCTGAAGAACTCGTTTGAAGATAAAGAAGGAGTTCATAGTCTGAAGAACTCGTCTGAAGAGGAAGGAGTTCATAGTCTGAAGAACTCGTCTGAAGAGGAAGGAGTTCATAATCTGAAGAACTCGCCTAAAGACAAAGAAGGAGTTCATAGTCTGAAGAACTCGTCTGAAGAGGAAGAAGAAGTTCATAGTCTGAAGAACTCATATGAAGAAGAAGAATGAGTTCATAATCTGAAGAACTCATCTGAAGAGGAAGAAAAAATTCATAGTCTGAAGAACTTATTTAACCTTTTGCTTGACTCTATTGCAGAAGGAGATAGAACAATATCAACATTTCCTGAAGAAGTTCGTAATAAGAAGAACTCGTCTGAAGAGGAAGAAAAAGTTCATAATCTGAAGAACTTATTCAACCTTTTGCTTGATTCTATCGCAGAAGGAGATAGAACATCATCTGTATTTCCAGAAGAGTTCATAATGAGAAGAACTAATCTGAAGAGGAAGAAGAAGTTCATAATGAGAAGAACTTGTTCAACCTTAGATTGATTCAACATCTACGAAAATGAATAAAATAAGAACCTCACTTGAGGATCAACATTTTCAAAGGAAGTTCATAATGAGATGAACTTATCTGGAGAGGAAGAAGAATTTCATAATGAGAAGAACTTGTCTGAAGAGGAAGAAAAAGTTCATAATGAGAAGAACTTGTTTAACCTTGTCTTAATTCATCACATATGAAGTTGAATCAACAACATCTCTTTCGAGGATCAACATTTCCAGATAGAGTTCGTAATAAGAAGAACTCATCTGAAGAGGAAGAAGAAGTTCATAATCTGAAGAACTTATTCAACATTTTACTCGATTATATTGTATATGGAAATAGATCAACATCAACATTTCTAGAAGAAGTTCATAATGAGAAGAACTCATCTAAAGAAGAACTCGTCCGAAGTGAGCGAAAAGTTCATAATAAGAAGAACGTATAGCTCAAAAGTTTGAACAATTCAAGCTAAAAATGGTGCTTTATGTATTTGCTCCATTCCTGTTCCACAACAACGAGCAAAGAGGGGCAGCTGTAATCACCATTTTTACTTTGATCGAGCTGGTTCCCTGCTCCAATTAGCACCTGCAGCAGCCCCTCCAGGTTGCAAATTCCAGCTTCACAATCTAGCATCTTCTACCCACAAAAGCAGCCCCTCCACGTTTCAACAAGCAAAAGCAGCCCCTCTACACGTACCAACAACAACCACACGTGCAAGGAGCAAGGAAAAATTGTCTTTGATTCTTCTTTTGTAAACTGGGGTTATAAAAACCCCATAACAATATGTAAAATGGACAGAAAAAAATAAAGAGAAATAGAGGAGGAATCAAGAGCAAATACACAACAAATTGAAAAGAAAAAAAAAACACTACAAAGGTTGTGTTTACATTTGGTTTTATTTTTTTAGCTTTATATTTTACTTTTATTTATTTTCGAAAAAAAATTAAATAAATAAATAAAAAACAAAAAAAAGAAGAGTTTGAAGCTTTGGGGGTGTTCAGCGTGTGAGGAAGAGAGGAAGAAGATGGGTTTTAAGTTTATAAAATTTTTGGGTAAATAAGGCATGAGGTCCTTGGTTTTTGGGAGTATTATTTTATTCACTTAAAATAGGGGAAATCATGAAATAATCCCTCTAATTTATGTGTATATTTACACTTTAATTCCTAATTTCTCTATTTTTATTATTATTTCGAAATTAGGTGCTATATTTTCATTTTTTTTTATTTTTTAATCTCTATGTTTTACTTTATTATATATAATCCCTTAATTATTTTTTATTCACATGAATATATATATATATATATATAATTCATTATGATATTCCGATTAATTAATTATGGTTAAACCACATTATTAATACTTGTATTTTATGATATTTTGAATTATATTATCATATTCTTATTAATATTTATTTATTTTTAAATATTAAGAAAATGGTTGTCTTAAAGCAACTTGATGTCCTTTTCTGATATTTTTAAATAAAAAAATAAATATCATACTTTTATAAATTATATATATTAATTTAATTTTATTATTTTTTTTGGGAAATACTTTATTAATATTTATTTTTTTAATATTAAGAAAGGGGTTGTCTTAAAGCAACTAGATGTCATTTTCTAATATTTTTAAGTAAATAAATTTCTTATTTATAAAAATCTAAAAAATTATATATTTATTAAAAATATAAAAATTAATATATTTTCTTGAAATTATACTAATAAGTTTGAAATAAGAGGATTATGAATTAAATATATTTTTGAATTCTCAAATTTCGAATAATAGAGACAATTTATAATTAATGGGTACCAATTTTGGGCGTTATAGGGGTGCTAATCATTCCCTAAACGTAATCGACCACGAATCCCTTTTTATTACTAAATATTTATTGGTTATACGCAGACTAGTTTATCTTTTAAATTATGTTTTCTTAAAAACTCTTTTAAAAGATTGTTTTTAGGTATTTGACCTACCTAACCCAAAAAGATCGTTAGCGACTCTCAAAACATTTTTAAAATAAGAATCATTTATTTATTCATTTTACTTCTTCCACTAAGTAAAAATTCGTACCCGGACGAAAAGCGGTTACGACAGAAGGAACCGAGGAGTTCTTTTGTAGATCTACGGCGTTGGAGTCCCATTCAGGCCAAATAAAGCCCATATCCATACTCAGGGCTAAAAAAATACTTTGGGTAACGTGTTTTTCTCTCTCCTCCAACGACGGCGAACGACGGTGACCGTCGGTCAGCGAAGGTCGATGTGGTTGAGGACCACCGGTTTCTGGGAACTCACCAGAATGCTCTCTCTCTCTATCCCCTCGGTTTAAGAAAAGAAGAAAATAAAGGCTGATAATATTTTTGGGCATGAATTTGGTCTTATATATGAGACATCAAATGACATTATTTTGAGGGGAACGAGTTTTGCATTTTCATGCATGGGATAATATCAAATCCAATCCTTATGATTCTGTAATATGCCCTTTTGGCCATTAATATAAGTATGATATTATTTTGTTTTGGGTGCATATCTTTCAATGTTTACATTTCGACCATTTTATATGTTATTCCATTTTTGTTAATGTTTGATTCTGGTTGCAATATTTGTAATTATTTTATTTTAGTCACTGATTTTGTGTTTTGTGTATTTTGTGAATGTTCAAATTTGGCCATGATATTTTTGTATCTTTTATTTTGGTCACTGCCTTGCATATGGTTTAATTATTGTTTAGTCCTCCATAGTTATTTTATTTTAGTCTTTAATATTGTTTAGGGGTTATTTTATTTCTATTACCTATATTATTTATTATTTTCGATTTTGGGAACCTGATTTTTTTTAGTCCCTTAAGTTTATGTTTTTTCTATTTTAGTCCCTTAAATTTATTTTTTTGTAATTTTAGTCCCTTAAATGTCTATTTTTACTATTTTAGTCCTTTAAATTTCTGTTTATGCTATTTTAATCCCTTAAGTTTTGGTTTTTTTTGCTATTTAGTTCTTTCAATTTTTGTTTTTACTATTTTAGTCTTTTAAGTTTCTTTTTTTTTCTATTTTGGTCCTTTTAAATAGAATATGATTATTTATTGTTTTCATTATTTGTAATTTGATATGTAATATTTCTTTTTTATGATAGATTCTTTTTACATATGTATTTGTTTTACATATTTTGTAATTATATGTAAATGAGAAATTTCAATGCGAGGAAAATCTACGAAGATATCTCCCAATTAAAGGGAATTATCTTTTCAAGGATTTTTCGAATAAATGTTTGTTTTATATTTGATAATTTTCTTTGGTTCACGTTAGTTATTTGGAGTATTTTTCATCGCTTTTTTACTTTTATTTTGTTTTATTTTTTTATTTTATCTTTGCGAAAATTGCGAAATAACGTTTTTGTGAGGGGAATCTATGAGAAAGTCTCCTAATTGTAAAGGAATTGCTTTCTCGAAAATTGTTTACACAAAAGGGTATAAATTATCCGAAAATTGACATTTTTTTAATAAATTCGAATAAATAAAAGAATCATAATTTAAATATATTTTCGAGTTTGTAATTCCCAATATTTAAACAACATATAATCGTTTAGGTACCGAAATTTGGGCATTGTGGAGGTGCTAACCCTTCACCACATGTAACCAACTTCCGAACTCTTAAAAACGAATCTTTAGTAAAACGTAAACAATTTTTTATGTTTAAGGTTTCCAACATACCTAACTTAATGGTTGGTGGCGACTCCAAAATCAAATTGTTTTCCAAAATCATATTTCATCGCCTTTCCCAGAAACTAATTTTTTTAAGTCTAACGGATCCCCGGGGAGACGTTATGACAATCGTAATAAAAGTGAATTAAAAATTTAATGATTATAATACATAATTCATCGGATGCTTTTCATAGTTAACATTGTACCAATCGTACTCCTTGTATCATGCATTATTGTATTATGTTGGCAGTCTGCCATGACTACATATCGAGTGTTTTCATTTTCCTGCGGCACGATGCGGCCCAGGGCATGAGAGCATCGTTTGCCTGTCAGCCGGTCACCCTAACCTACAACTTACTTATATGTATTGAAAGGAGATAGTTATCTATCTCCTTTGAAAGTTAAAGAACTTGATGCCATAGGCAAAGACAAAGAAAAAGAGCAGACACCAACCGATGTGTGCAACCGCAACCACCGGAAGGAAGTCATACTCGAACCCGAACATTTTCTTTAGGTATAATTTAATCGGAACGTTGGGAAATCCAGGCACCTCGAGATCAGAGTTTTTGTCTCCCAGTTGAGATGTAATAAGGCCATTGAGTGTCCAAGACACTGGAGTCACCCAATAGTACCACCTCCACCATATTGGGATTTGCGGTCTCGGAATGAGAAAGCCCGAGAAGATGTTCCAGAAACTTAGGAAGAATGACATGACAATGGCTGCAATTTGAGGGCCTGGAGTGAGAGCAATAATCATCATCCCATACAATGTGAAGTAGATAAAACTTGCAGTTATGAAGTAGTAGAACCATAGGAACTTGTCGGCCTTCCATTCATAGCCTATCATTGAGTATAGAAGTCCAGTATAGATCACTGTCTGGATTGCAGTATAGATTATCTCTATTGCCACCTGAAAAAACAGAGGGAGGGATGTAAATGATTCTCTGTCCACCATTCGTGATTATCGAATTAGGTACCCATGGACATAGTCGAGATATTTTCACCTGAGCAAAAGCATAAGGAAGTGCAGAATACATCCCGGCAGCTCTTTCGCGATAAAAGACTGTTCTCTCTATAGCAACAACCCCTTGCACCGTTGCAGTATTCACGGCTCCAAGGAAAAACACCGCGCAATACATTGCTCCGAAGAAGTTCAACACATCTTGTTGTTTTTCTCTGTCGATGGTTAATATATAAAAATGTTTTGGTTAGCTTTACATCGTATAATGAATGTCAACAGTCTCTGTTTAATAGATACAAAGCACATTACTTACATTTGTTGTCCTTTGTTCCAGAAGATAAGGCCGAACAAGATGCCGACAACGATTGTTATGAAGAACCTGATGCCATTATACGAAGGGTTCCTCATGTAAGAGCGGTGTTGCTTCAGGAAACAAACCTTGCATTGAGAAAGGAATGGTAGAGAATATTTGGTTGGGAAGTGGAGATCCTGGGAGCCTGGAGCTGGAGTACTTAGGTCTTTAATAAGTTCTTGATTCCTCCTGTGAGTTTTTCCAACATAAAGAGGAAGCGAAAATCAAACTATTAGTACTAGACCACTTCAGATAAAACTAATTTGGCCTGAATTATGGTGTTGTACTGGAACATACTGATAAAGTGGGGATTTAGCATAAGTTTCTGCAAAGTCTACATTCAGTTGATTCTCAACTGCTGGAGAGCTGATTTCAAGCATCCATGTTGCCGGATTATTTCCGTCCTTAATCTTGGGAACTCCAGGTATAGCCTGCAATGCAAGTGGAGCACGCGTTTTAACAGTTTAATACAGATTTTCTCTCGTTGTTGGTCGATAGAAAAACAAATTCTCACCTCAAAATACTCTACAAGATGGTGAGAATTGCAACCAAGAGGTCCAGCATAGATGATTTGGCCTCCTCTTTTCATCAGCAGTAACTGAACAAGTAAAATAGTAAGTTGAAAATGAGTAATATGCATCTAATAATTAAGGGGGAAACGTTGGCAGCAAATTGAAAGTCTGAATACCTCATCAAAAGACTCAAAAATGGCTATGCTAGGTTGGTGAATCGTGCACACAACGGTTCTCCCTGTATCGACCGTGTTTCTCACGGTCCGCATGACAATTGCAGCAGCCCTGGCATCAAGTCCGGAAGTTGGTTCATCCATAAAGATGATAGAAGGATTCGCAACCAGTTCAACCGCGATTGTCAACCTCTTCCTTTGTTCTGTTGAAAGACCATCTACTCCTGGAAGGCCAACTAAAGCATCCCTTAGTGCCGTGAGCTCAACCAACTCCATGACCTCTTCAATGAACATCTGTGCATAGTCCAGAATCAAATTTAAAATTTTTTGTTGGGGTAATTACAACCGAAAAAGACGGATAATTTTTATAGAAATAGAATAACCTTTCTTTTCTTGGTGTCAACTTCCGAAGAAAGGCGAAGCCAGGCTGAGTACAGCAGAGATTCATAGACCGTGACATGAGGCGAGTGGATATCGTTTTGTTCGCAATAGCCACTGACACGAGCAAATGTAGCTTGATTTTTTGGATATCCAGAGATGCTTATGCTTCCCTCGATGTATCCCCCGGTTTTCCTTCCTGCTAATACATCCATCAGGGTAGTCTTACCGGCACCAGTGACACCCACCAATGCTGTCAATATCCCAGGTCTAAAAGCACCGCTAACATCTCGTAGCAACAGAAGATGACTCTCTTGAACACCTTGAGTCTTCATTTCCTAGAAAATGAAAAACAACATTTTGCCTTAGGCGTTTGCCTCATGGAATCAATATCATACGTTAACATGACAAGTGTCGACGAAACAATAACTTACAGAAGGCATATCTACAGAGTAGCTAACATGGTTGAATGCAAGTGAAAGGGGTTTGAAAGGCAACACCATTCCTCTTCTACATGGCCGGTCTGCAATGTCGGCAGTATCCAAAGAATTTCTCACAGGCAGATCAATACCTGCAATCAGTCACAAAAGTTCGGGCAAAGCATCATCTAGGAAGAATTGTTTTGCTCATTGAGATTTGAAGTGACCTTCTTTGTTTTCTCCAGAGGACGACTCTTTCTTGTTCTTATTTTCATTTTCATCGACAGCAATAACTTTGGAATCGCGCAGAGCTGAAAATTGATTCACAGAGGAACAACTATTACTTCGGATTTTGATTCATATAGCAACTGTTCGAAGTACTGAGATTGCATTAAAAATGAAACTAATAATGTAGCTTACGGTTCAAGTAAGTCAATGCTACGATGAATAAAACGTTGAAGAGAATAGAAAATCCGAATAGTGCTGCAACACAAACCCAAAACCAATGATCTTCTGTAAAGAATCCTCTACTCTTTAGAAGAAGTTTTCCGACTGTAGTTGCATGAAATCTGGAGTCATTAATTTTCTGCATATACAACATTTTGTAATACAATAAGGTCAAGAAAAATGTAGGTGCCTTACAAGTGTTTATACATGGATATGCATCCATACTAATATGTATGTATGACGAGATCTTACTGTATTCCATCTTTCATCAAGAAATTCATTCATGACGATGGCATTTTGTCCATACATCATTGGAGACAAATAGTAGCCCCATATCATCCATGGACCAATGTCATCTGCAGTTAAAAAAAGGGTTACCATGGTTGAACTTAGGCAGATACTGACACATGAAAAGAAGTGAAATATTGAATATAAAGGTTATACTGAAACAATCATATGTCTTAGCTTTACTGCTTGGTTAACTGCAAATTTTTTACAGTAAATAGAGATGAAAATCAGGAATTGCTTACCTTTGGCAACAACGAAACCTCCAAGCACGAAAACCATTAGCAAGGTGAAGGTACCCAATGCGTTGGCGAAGACTTGTGTTCTTGCTATAGCAGCAATGAACCTAAACAGGGATAGAGCCATCTGATGAATGCCTATGAATGCCAGGAACTGTCTGAAGAACCTGAATATGTAAAGGACAAGTATTATTTGATAAAAGAAACCGGTGTCCATGATTCTCAAGAAACTACTAATTTTACAGTATATGAGAATGTTATACCTGCCAGAAGCTGGAGCAAATCCAATGGTGTAGTATGTGAGGCAGATCCATATTCCGGATTCCAGAATCGAAAAAGGGATCTTGATTATCCAAATTGGAAGGCCGAATGCCCATGGAGGGTAAAATAAGAAGTCCCTTTGTTTATAGAAAACAGGAAGCCTGAAACACGTCATTGCAAGTTCTGCCATACCATTAAACATCACATTGATTAGACTGTAAAACAAAGCTCCTAAAAATTTTGACCCGCCTAGCAAATTGCCTGCATGCATTTCTGTTTTGAAAAACACGGTCATGGCAATCATCGACATGATCGTAATTTGGACGGTCTTGAATATGTACACGAACGAGTTACGTTTCAGTAGCAGCCACTCTCTTGCAAAGCATGCCCTGAACAATTCCCAGTTTGAAATACCATACTTTTCTGTAACTAATGCAGGATGGTGTGCTACTGATCTGTCATAAGGGACCCTAAGATCCGATTCCAGCTGTTGGCCAATGTGGAATGAGTTGAAGCCCTGTACAAAGTCAGAAACCGTAACATAACTGTAAGGCTGGTCTTTCCGGAACCAATATTGCTCTTGGTCCTTCTTGGAAGTTACTTCTTGCAGAAAGTCTGCAACTGCTTTTCTTTCAGGGCATTTGAAACCCATGTATTCAAAGAACTCAAGGACACATTCAGTGGGACCTTGGTAGACTATTCGACCCTCTGAAAGTAGGATAATGTGGTCGAACAGATCGTATGTCTCCGGTGCTGGTTGTAGAAGAGAAATAACCATGGTTACGTCCATGATATGAACCATTTGCCTCATGAACTTGCAAATCTGATATGTAGTAGAACTGTCCAGCCCGGTCGATATTTCGTCCATAAAGAAGGCCTTTGCCGGACCAACCAACATCTCTCCTGCAATTCAGGTAAACAGAAACTATTAGAATGCCTAGGCAAGGAATATAAAGTTACAAGCATACTTGGTATTGAGTACATTTTTCACATGCTGGTAGAAGCATACCAGTTGTCAAACGCTTCTTTTCACCACCGGAAATACCTCTACGCATTTCGTCTCCTACCAGAGTATCCGAACATATTTCTAATCCAAGTATCTGTTTAAAAGGTTCATAAAAAGGGTTAACTTGCTTGGATTGGTGTTCAATGGACACATAAAAAAAACAATTATGTGGAAGGCAAACCTTAAGAACATAATCTGTAACCAAGCTGGTTTTTTGGCCTGCCATAGCTGTTGCTTTCATGAATGCATCAATTTCAGGATCCGGCTTGATCCCAGCCTCTTTTTCTCGCTTCGAGAGCTCCTTCAATATTTCATATCTAGTGCCAACGCCGAGACACCGTCCCGAGAAATCTAATGTTTCCCTCACCGTCATTTCACCATGGTGAACATCATGGGGACCGATGTAAGCACATGTTCTTTGAGGAACAAACTCACTCATTTCGTAACCACAATATGTGATTCTCCCACAAGACTGCAACCAATGCCAAGTTATTTGACCAAAATATTTCAGATAACCATTGGTAGACTCTATGAATACTCGAGGAAGAAAGTATTGTTGAAAGACTCACTCTTAGATCACGATCAAGTTTTCCCACAAGTACTTGTAATAGTGTTGTTTTTCCTGAGCCTGGAGGACCCAAAACTAGGGTCATCCTATAAATTCCATACAAATTAATCGATAAATAACCGGTTAATTATTTCTTCCTTCAAATTATCCTTCATTCACAAGTAAGTACAAATTAACATTTTTTTGCATGAAATTTTACGAATACTTTTCAATGTATAAATGTCCCACTTTTTCAATGGTTACACTACACTAGTATAAAATATAAGGACGTGAAAATATTGAGGGTTTTCCATATAATATTACCTTGATGGCTTGATAATTCCACTAACATCTTTAAGTATCTCAATCTTTCTCTTCTTTGATGGTAGAAGCCGAACCAATCCAAGAATACTCTATGATCCAACAAACATGGAAAGACATGCCATTTATTCAACAGAAAAAAAAGCGACATGCATGCCACCATTAAAATAATAGTTGGGTCTAAGAAAATGTGAAAATAAGATTTCGTCAAACCATCAAAACCCTAAACTTATTAAAAATATTATATTTTTACTAAAAAAAGAGAAGAGAGAGAAGCGATACCTCGATAATGTTCAAAGTAGTATTAAGCAGTGTAGGAAGAGCTCTGCTTCCTACATAAACGTCTCCTTCAACTGATAAATGCTCAAATCTAACTTCAATCTTTGGAATTTCAATCCCAACTCTTTCATTAATCAAAACCCAAAGCCATAAATCAGATCAAATATCCAATAAGAAATTGCTTTCTTTTGTTGACACTAACTTGAAGAAAAAAAAGGGATAGCATAAGCTTATATACCTATCAGTTCGGTCCCTTAATTTTCTGAGGAACTTTTCATTATCTTCATCGACAACCTTCAAAATACTGTCCATGAGTTGCTTCTTTTGGTGAGGTCCAAGCTTAGTTACATCAACTTCATGAAGATCAACTTTCCCGTTATCACCAACTCTCCTTATCATACTCTTCCTGAGCCTGTCATACATGGGAAGCCGCTCGATGGCAGCCCACATGAGGTCTTCCTCCGTATCATGGCGTTGGCTCCTCTCGAACACTTCGGACGGAGTCTGCCAAATATCCCGGAACCTCGCTGACCCCCAACCCTGCCCGCTGCTCATCGATCTTGCCGACAGATCATCTCCTGCTAAAGCTGATGCCATCTTTGTAATAACAATAAAAGCTGTGAACAAATTAGAATCTTTCTATTTCTGCTCATATAACAGGTTCCATATCAGCAGCTAAATACAAAATGGTACTCGAGAAGTGTTGCTTGCTTAAAATGATGTCTGGAATGGTAAGAAGCTATGATATTTTGTTATGTGAAGTTGAAAAAGATAGACAGCGTATGGATGTCTTGTGATATTAAAGGGAGAGGACATTTTCACTACACTCTATAGTTATCTTTTTATTTTTCATCTAATCAAGTGGTGTCATGTGTCATCAATTGAATGAATGGAAAATAAATTAAATCAATAAACATTATTGGTGGAGTTTAAACTTAGGACACATGTTAAAAAAACTGAGCACCTTAACCACTAAGCTAGACCATTAAATTTGTTCAGTATACAAAACATAATTTATATAATTTATAATATAATTAATTGTAATAAATGATCTTATAAAGACTCAAACATGAAATAACTAAATAGTATGAAAATATAAAATATATATAAACAAAATTTATAATTGATTAATAAATGAAAATGTTTTATTTATATTTTAAATCACATTTAATGCAAAAATAAAATAAAAGTAAATTTAATATGTTATAATTAAAATGTATCATTTTACATATTTTAAATTAATAAATTATCTTCATTATTCTAATTTTATTGAACTAAAATGTATCATATCTTATATTTTTATTATAACGTAGATTGGATTCTAATATTATTTATCCACTAAAATAGACTAATTCAATAAAATCAAATTTCCTTTAAATTTTTCTTCAAATATATAATGAATAAATAATAAAATATAAAATTCTTATTCTAACTGGGATATAAACAAGTCAACACATAAGTTAAAATGCTTACTACAATAAGCCTTCAATTATCAAGAAAATTCTAAGTTAACGAATCTCTTTGTTATATTTCAATTATAATATATTAAAATCTTTTTTATTTTTTCATTAAAATGATTTAAAACATAAATAAAATACACTCATATATTAATCAATTTTAATATTTGTGTGTGTGTATATATATATATATATATCATATTATCATATTATTCAATTATTTCATGTTGGAGTTCTTAATAGGTCATTTTCCCTTTTTTATTTCCATTAACTATATATATTATGTCATGATAGGTTTGTCATTTGAATGGTGCAACCCAGTGGTTTGTACATTTTTGCTTCCTCTCCTCAAGTATTGGGTTCAAACCCTACTAACAGTCGTTATTGATTCAATTTATTTTCTATTCATTCAATTGGTGACATATGACACCATTTGATTGGATAAAAAATTTATTAAATTAAATAAAAACATCAAGAAAAAACATCATATCACATAGTGATACATGTCACCATCTAATAAAGGATTAAATTTATTGAATTAATTAAAATTAGGACCAAATTACTAAAATGTGTAAGTAATGAGGACTAAATGTGTAATATACAAATTTTATTAACTGTCACATCATCTCCTCAGTTAATATTTAACAACATGTGGCTTGATTGACAAGATTTAAATAGTTAGGTGACCCGATTGATAAAATTGAAAATTGATGGTTAAAGTGAAAAGGGTAAATAGTTAGGTGGTAAATGGTATAGTTTACCCTAAAAATTATTGTTTTAATATTGTAATTAAATTACATTTAGATTTTTAACTAATTTATAATTATACATTTAATACTTTATGATTTAAAGTTTTTATAATTTAATTTAATGATACTTATCGTTTACCGTACTCTTCAACGCTCGTCGAGTATTGTAGAATTTTTCATTATTTTAAGCATATATTTTTTTATTATTATCAAGTTAAATTGATTATAAAGTAATATTTGTTCTAAATATTTTTAACTATTTGATAATGAACATTTAATCATTCTTGTAGTCGTTGGTGCTCGAATCTATGACCTCTAAAAATAACAACAATTCTTTTAACAATTCATTCAAACATTAAATATATAATTTATATATATACATACATATGTCTTTGTTGTTATCAAACTCATACTTATATCTGTACTAACATTTATCTTAAACACGTAATATGTATATTTTTAAATAAAATTTATAAAAAATTTCAATATTTTTGACATACTATTTTTTTATTTTTATTTCAACCTTTGCCGATATATTCTTGACAAACTTTAATGAAATTCTTGTCACGTAAATAAAACTCTAAACCTTACCATTAAATCAACATGAAAATAGTATACTTGTTAATTCTTCAATTTATAAACCGTAAGAAAATAGGGTGGAAACTGGAAAGTGACCTTTAATTATCACACATGAGTTAGAGTAATGGAAAGTTTATAACCTGACGGACTTTCTGAAAGAGAATAGATGAAATAGTTGAATTCAAATATTTCATATAAAAAAAAGGAACTGAATCTGGAATTATTATTATTTTTGTATTAATATATTAATTTTATTTATAGTTGTACAATTTAGAATTTAAAAATCGTGATTTAAATATGCTATTTTAAATAAATATCTAAATTGATATAATTTATCTCTTAAATCACATCAATTAAACAACACTTTGATGCCGAACACACTACCAATGCCAAAGCATATACTAGAAGCTGTGAAGTAAAACTAGTCAGCAGAGAAAATATTAATAATGAATTTTCTCGAATATTTAATTTAGCGTTAACACAGTTGCACTCAACAATAAATGATAAGAGATTAATGATTTTTGACATTTCAAAACTCCATAATTCAAAGGAGAGCTCAATCATCTTGAGTCGCCAATGGGCTCAAAATTCATTATAATAGTGAAATTATCAAATGGAAATTTTCAAACATTATTTTAAATATCATTAAAAACCAATCAATTATTGATTAGTATCTTGAAAATTTAATTAAAATATTTTTAATTAAGGCTAGATCAAAATCATAACGTAAAGGTAAACATTAAATAGACTAAAAAGAAATACTATTGTTTTAAACGATTAAAAACTGAAAATACGTGGAATTATTCCAAGGGTTATTAATGGCAACCACCAGCTAACAATGAATGTTAGTTAATTTTGATTTGCAATTTTTCAGTGGACATTGTGACTTTGTGGACGTATGAGATTGAATCTCTTCAATGCTACTCAGAGCTTAATCTGACAAATCTTTTAAGAAATTAAATTCAACGGGGACCACTTGGTTTCCCCCAACCATATCATTCATTGTCTACGTTAATTATCAAGTTTCTATCATATTTATTTATTGAATTTTAATTTGGTTAATAAAATTATTTTATAATATTTACAAAATAAAAATTCTAACATGATTAAACGCTTATTATCTCTTTAAACATGACGTGGTTTTAATAATTTAAGTATTATATTAAAATATATAAATTATTTTATATATAACTTATATAAAATTAAATTTATATAATATTATCTATCGATTTTAATATAGAAGTTAAAATCTTAACCACTAACCTTTAAACCCTACAACCTGGATAATTAAGATATTAATTATCAATGAAACTCCATAAATACACATGGGCCATTTGCCATAAACTCTACCTAACTTCGGCAAGTAATGAGCTTTCTAATTTTCCTTACAACTCTTTATTTATTAGGATAAAGTATTAGATATCATTAATTATTTTCCGTTAATTCGTTCATATAATTAAACTTTTAATTTTATTAATTATACCACTAAATTTTATTTTTACATCCAATTATGATACTTTGATGTTAGATCAATAACGAGATGATAACATGATTAATGGTTGCTGACGTGTCCTGTCACACCAAAACGATGTTTTGATACGACTATTTTGATACTTAAAATAATATCGTTTAAGACACTAAACTTTAGGGTTTCACTCATTTTTTTCTTCTAAAATTAGTTTTCACGAAATTCACTCAAAATCGATGAAATTAAATAAAAAAAATCAACCACTTTTAGATGTTTAGAGGCTTTTTATATTTATGATATTTGGAGTGTTGTTCGAAAATCCAAACGATTAGAAATTATTTTGAGAAGATGGACAACATACCTCAAAACCAACTTCATCAAACAATCATTGAAAGAGATTAGAGTATTAATACGTCGAACTTTTAAATGAATTTTTATCGATTTTGAGTGAGTTTCTTGAAAAATCAATCATATGAGAAGAAAGAGGAGCGAAATGTAATGTTTTGATACGAGTCTTGTCATGAAAAACAAACAGTGATGGGTGTTAATGGACTATCGACGACAATTGGAAAGTACAATACTAATTTTTTTTAAAAGTCCAGTAGTAAAATCGATACACCCTTAGGGTGTGTTTGGTTCATGGAATGTAAGATTACTAGTGGGAATAAAAGATTACCAGAGAATAAGATTACTGGGAATGTTGTATTTTGTGTTTGGTTAGTTTAGTAGGAATGTAAGCTTACCGTGTTTGGTTAAATGAATAAAAGATTATTGGAATGTATATTTTACCAAATTCTCCTTATTATATATTTGTTTTTTTAATAAGTTGAATTCTACTATAATATTACTATAATTAATTTATATATTTTCTTTAAAAAATTTAAATTCATAAAATTTATACAATTGTTTTTACAAAATGAAAAGATAAATATGTTTAATGAAAGGGTAAAATTTTATTTTAACTCATGAACTTCATATAAAATTATAATTATGGATATTTTTGTAAATCTAAAATAGTTTAAGGATAAATTTGTAATTTAACCTTCGTAGAATTTTTATTATTCAACGACAGAAGAAGGATAATTTTGAAGAAAACAATTTAAGGGCATTTTAGTTCAAAACGCCGGTAATCCAACAATACCTAAGGGAATGGGGTAATCACATTCCGATAATATACCAAAAAAAAACTTACTGTTGGTAATAAAAGATTACTAAGAATAAGATTACCGGTCAACCAAACGGGGGAATGAGGATTTCATTCCCCCGATAATGTTTTATGTCGTGAACCAAACGGCCCCTTAGAGTTTAGGTCTAAAACAATATCATTTTAGACTTTAATAGTTATTACTAAAACAATGTCATTTTGATGTGACATACCTCATCAGTAATTATTAATAATATCATTATTTTGTTATTAACTTA